AATAAAATATTTATTTTTTTTTCAATGTTTCTGGCCTCAAAAAATCTTCAAAATTTTTTTACAAATATATCTTGTCTACATCTACAACATATATTTTTTTTATGAAAATTGATTGAGCCGTTTAATAGATATAAATTTTTTTTGAAATTTTGATTTTTATTTCTCACACTCCAACGGTTGAATATTAAGGGCTAAGTTTGGTAAAATTGTAACCGATATTGATAGCAACTAAACTGTAAAAAATGGTCATGATCGGCGCGGGGGCAGATCGCCCCTCCTTATCCAGCTACGGCCTTTAGTTCACACACTTGTAGCGATTGTAGCGACCTGAACGAATCATTGAAACCTTGACGGGCGTGTGAACAATAACTCACCAAAATTTCATCGCAATCGGATGAATGGTTTACGAACGCATACGGAACAAACAAACAAACATTCATTTTTATATATATAGAAGATAGATTACTTATTGTCAGTGAATAATTAGTTGTAGCAAAAAACTACTTTGGACTAGATATAAGGATGTATTATTTATGAACATTCCATTCTTTTGAACGGATCTTTCTACTGATCGAAAAATTTGAAACAACAATAAAAATGAATGGAACTTAATGATTTTAATAACCCTAGCATTCCTAGCGTTTAATTGATTCTTCTACGTTGTGCATTGTGCGTGTGAACACGTCGACGCATGTGTGGCATTGTATGGTCATGCACAGAACAGTTATGACACTTACTAAAAACTCCCTCCCAAAAAAACGATACACTAAAAATTTAGGTAAAATTTAACGAACTTCAAATAATTGTAACTTAATAAATAATAAAGATAAAATTATGCATAAACTTGCAAAATGGAGTTTGAAATACTTTAAGACTATTCAATTTTAAGACTATTTGAAGGGCAATTATGAACGGTCATCTTTTTCAAAATGGCAAATGACAAAATGAAAAAATACAAAATTGATAATCAAAAGTCCGAGTTTGTGACGATGTATGGCATGAATCAGGTATCGCAGCCCAAAATGCACATGAAAATATAAAGTGTTATTTCTAAAATCCTTTTTGTCCGACCTCGACACGATCATTTTTCGCTGAGTTATCCTTTGGAAGAAACCTGCTTTTTAACCAATTAATCTCTATTCCAAAATAACTCAGCGAGAAATGATCATATTGAGGTCGATCGCAAAGTATTTTGAAGATAACACTTCACACTTTTATGTGTATTTTGCCCCATTGGGCTGCGATATCTGATTCACGCCATGCATCGTCGTAAACCCAGACCTTTGATTATTAATTTCGCATTTTCTCATTTTGGCATCCGCCATTTTGAAAAAATGACCGTTCATAATCGTTCAATTATTCTTAAAGTGGATGTTTCAAGCTTTAATTTGCAATTTCATTCATACTTTTATCTTCATTATTTATCAAATTACGATTATTTGAAGTTTGGTAAATTTTACCTAAATTTTTAGTGTATCGCTTTTTTGGAGAGAATGTATTTTATGAATGCAAACCACGATTGGTCTCTAGGACCAAGACAATGTACCAATCGTGGTTCGGATTTGCAAAATATTAGTGTTTCGAAATCCATAAAAAAAAGAAAAGATAATTAACGGATCTAGACATTTTCTTTAAAAATTTATTTTTTTGTAATAACAAAAATTTTAAAATATGTTTTGAAGTAATGCCTATCGAGCCGACACGGATGTTAGTTGTGTAATAATTTTTTACAATATCCAACCACACGCAAACTGCGCGCCACATATTTGGTCTTGAAACATGTTTTTTTACAAGTTCTTTTACATAAGGCTGGATTATGAACTGTGTTTCAAGACCAACAAGTATGCGGCGCGCAGTTTGCGTATGGCTGGATATTGTAAAAATTACACACTAATTTATATTATAATAATATACACCAACATTGATATCAGTTTGATAGACATTATTTCAATACATATTTGATTAATTTCTAGCCTAATTTCTTCAATTTATTTGAATAAAAATTTTGTTCTTTAAATATTAAAACTTTTCTATTTTCTATAATAAATTGCACAGAAAATGTAAAAATAAAAAGTAAAACTTTCTATGTAATAAGATATTATTAATTTTTAGAAAACAGCTTAAATTTATTAGCAGATTAAATTTATTCTCAATTGCTATTTTTAATTATTGTTTAAAAATAAAATTTGCGATACTTTATTTGCATTTAGTCTTCTTTTATCTATTAAATTTTGTCTGACTTTAAATAAAAAATTTTTATTTATAATATAATGAATGAAAATATACAATAACAAAAATTAAAAAATTCTTTTGTAATAAACAAACATAAATTTTATTCTGATAACGTTAATTAAAAATATAGATTATTTTATTATTCTAAATTACTATTTAAAAATAAAATTTGCGATATTTTATATTCACTTGTTAGTCTGCTTCTTTTATCTAATAAAATTTATCCGGCTTTAGAAGACAATATTTCGTAAGGTACGAAACCCAAATAGCCAAATGCAATTAGTTTGCTATGTTGTTATTATCAATCGTTGCAGTAACTAATTTCAACAATCTTCTCACACGACACATGGATGTCCCGCCTGAAAAATGGCTATTTGGTGTCTATTTCATATCTTGATTAAGAGACACGACAGTATTTCACATCAAGTATGTGCACCCATATACGAACCGTGAGATCGACCCGCATGTCTCTTTACTCAAACCGTCGAGTTAAACGGAAACACGATGATCATCTGTAAAAAAACGACTAAATGGATAAAAATTTTAATAGGTTTATTGTTAGTTACCGAGTATTTTTCGCGTATCGGAACTTAATCTCCGAGCGGTCTGGTACTGTCGAACTTATTGTTAGTCTCAGGACCGCTGCACGTGTCCGAACTTAATCTCTGGAGGTATCTTTCTGAACGGACTTAGCCGCAGTTTCATGCCTGTCTTTCAGTTTACTTAACTGTGCAAGCCAAGTGCCTCGACAATTCGTTTTCATTATTTTAATAATATATTGATCGTATTGAAACACAACATTGTGCTCTGATTGTGAGACCGCCTCGACGTCGGAGTATTCTATCTTTGTGTTACAAGATTCCCTTAGTGCTGATCAATTTTGTGCGTGTATGTGTTATGATCGATAGTTCAATTGTGTATAACGACGTATAACGGTGTATCAAGAATATAGTAATTGTTTCTTTCTAAATATATAGTGTTCTATAGTTATTTGATTCACTCTAACGCTTTTAAATTCTTATATTGTATCACGCAGTTCTATCATTTTATATATTTTATATATTTTATATATAAAATTATATATATTATATATTTATATATTATAATTATATTTTTTATATATAAAAAAAGGAAAAAAAGCTATAGAAGTTAGCGCGGTAAACTTTGCGCAATCAAGAGACACAACAGTGTCTCACGCCAAGTATGCGCGCCCGTACACGGGCCGTGATACCGAGCCATGTCTCTTTAATAATCCAACCAGAGTTGAGCGGAGGCACGATGGTCATATCTGAAAAACAGTCAAGTAGATGAAATTTTTAATAGGCTCAGTCAATTGCTTGGAATCATATAATAAAAGTGTCTTTATTTTTTTTCTAAGTTGAATATTAAGAGAGATATTTTAAGTTTTATGTCAAAATGGGATAAATATATTTAAGAAACGTTGTCCCGGTGTCCGGGTGTAAATCGTCTTCCACTACTCGTATACGCCTACACAAACCTCCAAGCACCCTATACACCCATACTCATCTCCACCTACGCTATTCGTGCAAACACTTTCCACCCTCTCTCCCACCTACTACAAAGTCTCAATATACTCCATTTCGTCCCTGTATGACCTACTACATCCACATGTATTGTTGTGCCCGGGTGATTGGTTGATGGGCACAATACGAGGATCCGACTCCGCGGGGGAACGGGACTATACTTGTTTTAAATAACTCCGACACTCTGTTACTCTTTTTAAAATATAATCACTTTTATTTCACCTTTTAAATTCACAGACTCTTATTTTATTTAAAGATCGGAAGAGCACAC